ATCACTGGGATTTTGGGATCACTGGGACTGGGTTTTTTCCACAGGTTTCTCTTAGGAATTTTTTGGTTTTTGGGGGTCTCCTCCAGAATTCTGACGGCTTTTCCCGGAATTTTGGGATTCAGCAATTTGGGATTCTGGAATTTTGGGATCTCAGGAATTTGGAATTCAGGAAGTTTGGGGTTTTTTCCCAGTAATTTCGGGTTTTTTTCTCAGGAATTTCGAGGTTTCTCTTCCAGGGATTTTTGGGGTGCCCGAGCAGCAGCTCTGGGGCTCCTGAGGGAGATTTTACTGGGATTTTTTTGGGATTAAATGGATTTTAATGGGATTTTTTTTGTATTTTTGGTATTTTTATGGATCATTTCATGTTTTAATCCCATTTTTTCCCATTTTTTCCCCATTTTCTCCCCATTTAAAGCATTCCCTGGTGCGTGACGTGGTCTCAGCCCTCAGCAGGCACGGCCTGCCTGAGCAGCAGTTCTGGGGCTCCTGGGGGGGATTTTAATTGAATTTTAATTTAATTTGAGGGGGATTTTTGGTATTTTCATCAAATTTTTCAGGATTTAATCCCATTTAATCCCATTTTTTCCCATTTTTTCCCCATTTTCAGCACTCCCTGGTGCGTGACGTGGTCTCAGCCCTCAGGAGGCACGGCCTGCCCGAGCAGCAGTTCTGGGACTCCTGAGGGGGATTTTAATTGAATTCTAATGAATTTTTTGGGATGCCTGAGGAATTTTGGAATTCAGGAATTTTGCCCTTTCCAGGTGCGCCGGAGCAATTCCCTGCGGGACCTGGTGGCCGTGGCCGGGCCCCTGGGGGTGACGCAGTTCCTGGTGCTCAGCAAATCCCAAACCGGCATCAACCTGGTGAGAATTCCGGGAATTTTGGGGAATTTTGGGGAATTCCAGGGGATCCCAAACCCTGCCGGACCCAGAGGATGAAGGAATTTTCCAAAATTGATCCCGAATTCTGTGATTGATCTCAAAGTAAACGCTCTGATGGGTCCGGGGGTGGAATTTGGGGGTTGGGGTCAGGAATTTTCTGGGATTTTCCCGAAATTTTTCTGGGATTTTTTTTTGGGAATTTTCTGAGGATTTTGCCAGGATTTTTTTAGGGATTTTCCAGGATTTTTCTGAGCATTTTTCCAAGGATTTTTCAGGAATTTTCCCTGGATTTTCCTGGGATTTTTCTATAATTTCCCCGGTATTTTTTTTTCCAGGAATTTCCCAGAATTTTCCTAGGATTTTTTTGGAATTTTCCCAGGATTTGTTTGAGATTTTTCCCGGAATTTTCCTGAGATTTTCCAGGTTTTTTTGGCATTTTTCTGGGATGCTTCTGGGAATTTTTCCAGGATTTTTCTGAGGAATTTTCTGATGTTTTTACGGGGTTTTTCTGGGAATTTTCCCAGGAATTTTCTGGGATTTTTTCCCAGAATCTTCTCAGAATTTTTTCCAGGATTTTTCTGTGATTTTCCCGGAATTTTCCTGGGATTTTTCCAGAATCTTCCTGGAATTTTCCAGGGATTTTTCCAAGGATTTTTCTGGAATTTTTCCAGGTTTTTTGTGGAATTTTTCCAGGCTTTTTTTCTGGGAAATTTTCCAGGATTTTTATGGAAAATTTCCAGGATTTTCCTGTGATTTTCACTGGTTTTTCCTGAAGATTTTCCCTGATATTTTGTCCCGGAATTTTCCCAGGATTTTCCAGGATTTTTCTGTGATTTTCCTGCATTTTTCCCACTCCTGAATCTTTTCCTCCTTCCCAGAAACTTTTCCGTCTGCCGGGGGGTCCCACCCTGACCTTCAAAGTGCTGCAGGTGAGTCCAGGAATTCCGAGAATTTTGGGAATTTTTGGGAATTCTGGGGTTTTTTTTTTTTTTGCGATCCTGGAGGAGAGATTAATCCCAAGGATTTTTTTTTTGGGGGGAATTCTGAGGTGATTTTTTGTGAATTGCAGGATTTCTTTGGGATTCCTGTTACTTCCTGATCCAGAATCCGGGGACTACTTTTGGGATTTGGGATTTTTTTGGGATTCTGAGCTGATTTTTATGGGATTTCTCAGGCTTTTATGGATTTTTTTTTAGTATTTAATCCCATTTTTTCCCCTTTTTTCCCCGTTTCCAGCACTCCCTGGTGCGTGACGTGGTCTCGGCCCTCAGGAGGCACGGCCTGCCCGAGTGGCAGCTCCGGGGCTCCTGAGGGGGATTTTAATGGGATTTTATGGTATTTTTGTCAATTTTTTCATTATTTAATCCCATTTTTTCCCCATTTTCAGCACTCCCTTGTGCATGACGTGGTCTCGGCCCTCAGGAGGCACGGCCTGCCCGAGTGGCAGCTCCGGGGCTCCTGAGGGGGATTTTAATGGAATTTTATGGTATTTTTATCAAAATTTTCAGGATTGAATCCCATTTTTTCCCCTTTTTTTCCCATTTTTTCCCCTTTTTTTCCCATTTTTTCCCCTTTTTTTCCCATTTTTTCCCCATTTTCTCCCCGTTTTCAGCACTCCCTGGTGCGTGACGTGGTCTCGGCCCTCCGGAGGCACGGCCTGCCCGAGTGGCAGCTCCGGGGCTCCTGAGGGGGATTTTAATTGAATTTTAATGGAATTTTATGGTATTTTTATCAAAATTTTCAGGCTTGACTCCCAATTTTTCCCCTTTTTTTCCCATTTTTTCCCCATTTTCTCCCCGTTTTCAGCACTCCCTGGTGCGTGACGTGGTCTCGGCCCTCCGGAGGCACGGCCTGCCCGAGTGGCAGCTCCGGGACTCCTGGGGGAGGCTTTTCTGTGGGATTTTTGGTATTTTTATGGATAATTTCACTATTTAATCCCATTTTTTCCCCTTTTCTGCCCGTTTTCAGCACTCCCTGGTGCGTGACGTGGTCTCAGCCCTCCGGAGGCACGGCCTGCCCGAGCAGCACTCCGGGGCTCCTGAGGGGGGATTTTCTGTGGGATTTTTGGTATTTTTATGGATAATTTCATTATTTTTTCCCATTTTTCCCCCTTTTCTCCCCGTTTTCAGTACTCCCTGGTGCGTGACGTGGTCTCAGCCCTCAGGAGGCACCGCATGCACGAGCAGCAGTTCCTGCACCCCCCTCTGCTGGTGCTGGGCAATTTCGGGGCGCGGGCGCGGCCGGAGCTGCGGCTGATGGCCGGGATGTTCCAGGGGATGTTCCCGGCCCTCAACGTCCACAAGGTCAGGGAAAATCCCGGGATTTCATCCTGGAATTCGTCAGGAATTCCGTGGGGATTACCTGGAATTATTTGGGAATTAATCGGGAATTAATCGGGAATTAATCGGGAATTAATCAGGAATTATCCTGGAATTATTTGGAGATTATTCAGGGAATTGTCCAGGAATTATCTGGGAATTATCCTGAAATTCTATCCGGAATTCTTCAGGAATTACCTGGGAATTATCCAAGAATTATCTGGGAGTTAATCTGGAATTAATTGGGAATTGTCTGGGGATTATCGGGGAATTATCTTGGAATTTTATCCAGAATTTTACCTGAAATTATTCAGGAATTATTTGGGAATTATCTGAGAATTAGCCCAGAATTTTATCCGGAATTTTATCTGGAATTACCCGGGAATTGTTTGGGAATTAATTGGGAATTGATCAGGAATTATCTTGGAATTATTTGGGAATTATCTAGGAATTAATCAGGAATTATCCTGGAATTATTTGGGGGTTATTTGGGGAATTATTCAGCGTGGTCTCAGGGAATTATCCTGGAATTTTATCCGGAATTTTATCTGAGAATTATCCAAGAATTACCCGGGAATTGTTTGGGAATTAATTGGGAATTCATCAGGAATTAATTGGGAATTAATCAGGAGTTATTCAGCAATTATCCTGGAATTATCTGGGAATTATCCAGGGAATTATCCAGGAATTATCTGGGAATTATCCTGGAATTATCCAGGAATTGTCTGGGAATTCAGGAGCTGGGAGTTTGGGTTTGGGAATGGGGAGAGGGGCAGGAAGAGGGATTTGGGGTCTGGGAGCAGGGAAAGGGGATTTTTTCTGTTTTCCCCATTTTTCCCATTCCCATTTTCCCCCACTTTTCCCATTTTTCCCATTCCCATTTTCCCATTTTCCCCCACTTCTCCCATTTTTCCCAGTCTCTTTTTCCCATTTTTAAGATTTATCCCATTTTTCCCATTTTTTCTGTTTTTCCCATTCCCATTTTCCCCTTTTTCCCCTTTCCCCATTCCCATTTTCCCATTTTTCCCATTCCCATTTCTCCAATTTCTCCCATTTTCCCATTTTCCCATTTTTCCCATTTCCCCATTTTCCCATTTTCCCATTTCTCCTTTTCCCCATTTCTCCCAATTTTCCCATTCCCCTTTTTCCCATTCTCCCATTTTCCCATTTTCCCATTTTTCCCAGTCTCATTTTCCCATTTTCCCATTTTTCCATATTTTTCCCATTTTTTCTGTTTTTCCCATTCCCATTTTCCCCTTTTTCCCCTTTCCCCATTCCCATTTTCCCATTTTTCCCATTCCCATTTCTCCAATTTCTCCCATTTTCCCATTTTCCCATTTTTCCCATTCCCATTTTTCAATTTTTCTCATTTTCTCATTTTCCCATTTTCCCATTTTTCCATTCCCCATTTCTCCCCTTTTCCCCTTTTTCCTCTTTTCCCTTTTTTTCAATTTTTTCCATTTTTCCCATTTTCCCATTTTCCCATTTCTCCCATTTTTTGGATTCCCATTTTTCCCATTTTCCCATCCCCATTTCTCCCATTTTTTCCCAGTCTCATTTTCCCATTTTCCCTATTCCCATTTTCCCATTCCCCATTTCTCCCCTTTTCCCCCTTTTCCCCTTTTCCCCCTTTTCCCTTTTTTTCAATTTTTTCAATTTTTCCCATTTTTCCCATTTCCCCATTTCTCCCGTTTTTCCCACTTTCCCATTTCTCCCATTTTTCCCATTTTTCCCTTTTTCCCATTTCTCCTTTTCCCCATTTCTCCCATTCCCATTTTTCCCATTGTTTTTTTCCCATTTTCCCGTTCCCATTTTCCCATTTTTCCCATTTCTCCCATTTTCCCCAGTCTCATTTTCCCATTTTCCCCATTTTCCCATATCCCCATTTTTCCCCTTTTCCCATTTTTCCCATTTTCCCATTTTTCCCATTTCCCCATTTTCCCATTTTCCCATTTCTCCTTTTCCCCATTTCTCCCAATTTTCCCATTCCCCTTTTTCCCATTCTCCCATTTTCCCATTTCCCATTTCTCCCATTTCCCCCGTCCCCATTTCCCCCATTTTCCCATTTCTCCTTTTCCCCATTTCTCCCCTTTTCCCCTTTTTCCTCTTTTCCCTTTTTTTCAATTTTTTCCATTTTTCCCATTTTCCCATTTTCCCATTTTTCCCATTTCCCCATTTTCCCATTTCCCCGTTTTTCCCATTTCTCCTGTTTTTCCCATTTTCCCATTTCTCCCATTTTTTGGATTCCCATTTTTCCCATTTTCCCATCCCCATTTCTCCCATTTTTTCCCAGTCTCATTTTCCCATTTTCCCTATTCCCATTTTCCCATTCCCCATTTCCCCTCTTTTCCCCCTTTTCCCCTTTTCCCCCTTTTCCCTTTTTTTCAATTTTTTCAATTTTTCCCATTTTTCCCATTTCCCCATTTTTCCCATTTTCCCATTTCTCCCATTTTTCCCATTTTTCCCTTTTTCCCATTTCTCCTTTTCCCCATTTCTCCCATTCCCATTTTTCCCATTGTTTTTTTCCCATTTCTCCCATTTTCCCCATCCCCATTTCCCCATTTTTCCCATTTCCCCTTTTCCCCATTTTCCCATTTATTTTCC